TTATGCGTTATGCTTTATGCAAAAGTCTGTGCTCCGGCCATTATGCTTTATGTAAAAGTCTGTGCTCCGGCCTATAGTGAATTTCGTAACATTTCGCGTTACTGATATCATTTAGTTTAAAAATTATTCGAAAAATATCTAAGTATCCGACGCAATAACAAAATACATGCAATGCAACAAATGCAACTCATCGAAATGAATGTGGAGATTGACATAGCGTATTGGATGCGGAGATACGAGCATTAGATACGAGCATTAGAAATACTTATCGTCTAACCTCGATATTATGTTAATTTAGAAGAATTTTAGAGATTGACTGTCACAAATTTTGGTATGATTTTTATCCATGTATGATTACGAGTAAAACTTATGAATTGTATTAGACGATTGTCAAATCATTTTATCTTCTAAAAATAGATATTGAAAAGTGTGGAACTTTCACTGACAATGAGTGTAAAGGTTATAATATTTTCTTGTTTTTATATTGTTTTCAATAATCTTCTGTTACTAAAATAAAAAATGATAATAAACATACTTATGTCTGTGCCTAATATATTAATGCAATAATTAATTTTACAGTTTACAGCTTATTAGTTTTTATATTTCTGTATGGTGGAGAGATTGACCAACCATTTGAATTGAACAACCAAACCAATACAATAATAATCAATATGGATCAAACACAGGATAAAAAAACACAGGATGATATAGAAGAAATCCCTGCGATGAAGAATGAATTATTGTTTAAATTAAACGAGCCAGTTACTACAGCTCTAAATATAAGCTCAATGGCAACAATGAACAGTAGCAATGATGGAGCTAGTTTATCGTTTGTAGTGTTGGGCAAAGATTCAATGGAAAATGTTCAAGCTTCATTATTAGCCTCATATGTTGATATTCAGCAGAAAAGCATGGCTGTTGTAAGTATTGCAATTTTATTCCACTTTTGTTTATTTTACAATAAAAAGTAAGAAATATTTCTTTGTAGGATTATAAAACAATGATATCATCACTGAGCATAGACGAGATGCAGCAAAGACTTACTGAACTATTGCAAGAAAATGTGAAATTGAAGGAAACTTTGAAGCAAAATAATGTATCTATGAAGCAACAATTTCAAACATTGGCAATCTGGCAAGAAGAAGTCATGAAGGTTCATCAGAACCACAAACAAAAATTTGCAGAGACAAGAAAATTGATCAGTCAGTTAAAACAGGAAAATACTGACCTGCAAACTAAACTTCTGCAGTGGCAACAGATAGAAAACATGGGATTTGAGGTATGAACAAAAGTATGTTATATGTTATATGTTTAGTATTGTGACAGAGATTTAATATTATAAACTTTTTCAGCCAATTAGTGCAATTTCTGAATCTACCAGCATTAGCATTCCTGATCAAATAGAATTTCAGCAGAGTATGCTCAGCAAAGTTATGATATCAAAAATGGATATTGAAGCGTGCAAACAATATACAACATCCGAAAAATTTACTGAAAAAGGCTTATATAAGAGTCCAGATCAATTAAAAGTAGAAAAAGAGTTAGAATCAGCAATGAAATCATTAAATTGTAATAGCTGTGAAACTTCTGAGCAGATTGTAGAACATCAAGAATGCTCAGAGTGTTCTGTAAAACAACAAGAAATTGCTTGCTTGAAAGAATCGATTGCTTTACTTCAACAAAGGCTGCAATGTGTATGTTTTTAGAGAATTATATGTTTTTTTCAAACATTATTGCAGGTAAATTCGAGGAATAACACTGAATTATTTTGCATTTATTTTTTTGCAGACTCTTTCTTCTATTTCGTATGATTTATCAGAATCATCATCCGATTCAAATCGTCAGAAATTCATACAAAGTATGAAGCAATATAATGATATTTATCATGAATTAACTGCATGTTTCGTAGGACAAATAGAACGCTTTCCTGTAATTGAAAAAAATTTAAAGGAGATTACTGACATTCTTATGGTACTTGATGATGATCCTTCAAAAATGCAATTGCATCAATATAGAGAAAAATTATGTCATTTTTGCAAACATTTAGCTGACGAGCAAGTGAAAATTATCACTGACAGACAGATTCTAGTTAAATCGCAGAATCAGTTTCAGAAGATACTTTCTGATTATAATTCCATTCTATACGAACTGGAAATTACGATCGATGAAAATGCGAAACTAAATGTTTTAAAGGATAATACCACTCGTGAGAGTTTGCAAAAATCGGGGGAAATGGAACGCATCAAGCAGGACAGGCAATTGTTCGAAGAAAAGAAAAGAACTTTTGACCAAGAAAAGAACCATTTGGAAGAAGAAAAAAAATCACTGGAAAAGCAGAAAAAGAGCTTAGATGTAGAGCGAGACTCGTTGTACGACGAGAGGAAACTTTTGGCGCAAGAAAAGATAAGTCTGAATGAAGAGAAAATGTCACTTGACCAACAAAGTCAACTATATGAAGATTGTGAAAAATCTTTGCAGAACGAGAAGAAAACATTGCAACATCAGTTCGAGAAGTTACTGAACGAGACAAATTTTTTGAAACAAGAACTTGAAGAAAAGAATGAAGAATTTAAAGAAGTGCTGGAACATCTTGCACAAAGCGTAAGCGGATCTTACTTTAAATTAATTCGATTTATATGACATTTTATAATTAAAATATTATGATGCTTTAAATGTTACTACAATACGATCTTTTCTCATAGACGGAAGAGATTAATTTATTAAGATCACAATTAACACTTTACGAAGAAGACTTTCAACATGAGAAAAAACTTAAAGAGGCACTCTTGGAAGAGAAAAGTAAATTAGATGTGGAATTACAAAAGCAAGTAGAATATAATAAGCAATTGCAAGAATCTGCTGATATTTATAAACATACTAGTTCCAATGTTCCATCTGAACCTCGAGTAAGTAATTTCTGATTTGCAGCGCTATGCAAAATAATTTTATCTCATCATAAAAATTTGATCTTCTTTTTTTTATTATTATTAGGGCGGTGACAAATGTAATCGGCATGCGAGAATCGAGAAAAGTACTACACAAAAGAAGCCGAATTATCAACTATTTCGTAAATTACTACGAAATAATTGAATATTTACGATGAAACAATGAAATTTCTCAGATTTTCAAGTTTATTTAAAAATTGGCTTTTATAATATTTAACCTAAATTTTGTTTTTCTCACAGCGTTATATTACAATTTTTAAAATTACATATAGCGCTCTCGGTATATTGTTGGAATTGCCGACTATGAGTTTTTTTTCTTTTTTTTCGATATCTTTCTCTTTAGAAACGAAGTGCAAATACATTATTTAATTCAGTTATTATCCAGGATACATATGTATCCTATAATATACATTACTCAAAACAATTGGAGTATAAATATGATTTCTATCTTAATGGATATATCTTATATTTCAGTAATTTTTTTTTTATAATCTTAATATTCAAAAATACGCTTACATAAACAGTATTTTAGTTTTTAAAACAATATTTGAGTCTATCTTTCGAACTGTGATAAAGAATAAAGATTTTTTTTTATGTTAAGAAGTAAACAAATATAAATGCAGTGTTAAGTTTAATATCAGTGATTTTTTCAAATATGACTGGAAGCTATTGCGCTATTGAAATTAGAGTTTCAATATATATATATTAAATATTGCATATATTGCATATATGTATATTGAAACTCTAATTTCAACATATAGTTCTTTAATCTTTCTTTCTGTATGCAATTATTCATTAGATACAAAAAACACTGTTCTATGCAAACTATATTAACGAAATCTATCAAAAGAATTATCTAACATTTGTCATAGCCCTAATTTTAGGATCGACTCATATTATTAGTTATGTTACAATTGTAACTAAACACTGAGAACAATTGTGTCAGTATGTATAAACCTAGACTAATACATTTCAACTTAATTGCAGAAGGATGATTCGACAATGCTTGCGTCTGCGTGTCCAAAATGTGAATTGAGATTTCAAAATCTATCGGCTCTGATAACGCATATTGAAAGATGCCTAGAATTTTAATAATCAAAAAAATATTAATCCGATTTTTTTAGTTTTAACATATTAGGGTATTTACAGGACGCATCTTCATAACGAAGCATCAAGTCATATCAATACTTCTGTGGTATTTTGTATTCATGCAGCATATAAGCGTGTATATTTTATTTCTTTATGACAAACTTTTATGTTCAATTCACTTGTGATACAAATTAAAGTGCATGTGTAATGCACTGAATATTAATTAGGAGAATTATTGACATGCGTGACACATTTTAAGTATAGCAAGACTATATCATGCCAATGTGTGAAAACACAATATATTTGGCATAGAAGTGTTAATTTGTAGTATGTAATAAGGTTTTGTGTAAAGGAGACCACAAATTAGACCAGAAAAAAAGGAAAAGGCTTCATGGATTTTGATGAAATTTGTAGGGAAGGTAGTTTAGGGTGAAACGAAAAATGACCATGGCAATTTGGCTTATTTGGCAATAATCTTATATTAATAATATAATAATAATAATATTATTATTATATATGCATTGCCATGGATACAAATCCAATTTTGGATATATATATGCATTGCCATGGATAGGAATCCAATTTCGGATATACATATGCATTGCCATGGATAGGAATCCAGTTTCGGGCGCCATTACTCGGGAATCATGGCACCTGAGCCGAATCGTCATGGTCATTTCTCTTCTGTCACCCTAAACTACCTTCCCTGCAAATTTCATCAAAATCCATGAAGCCATTTTCCATTTCGTTTTCGTTTTCTTTTTTTTTTGTCTAATTTGTAGTTTCCTTTGAAAATTAAGTAACAGGATATTTTCCCATTTTACTTTTATTTGCTGTGTTTTAATTCATTTTAGTGACTACATTCTTGACACGATAGAAAGACTACTAAAATAAAGTTCAAAATTATTTTTAGCAAAAAGTAGTTATGCATTCAGGAACATTCAAATTTTACATCATAATGTGAATGCATCACACAGTACCTGTACGTAACCGTTAGTTACCTCATGTAAAAATAAATAAACTTTTAAAAGAATTAAGCTACAATGAATATAAATCACTCTACAAAAAAGTATTCATAGAGTATATCTATCTACCGCCACGTAACTCCCTTTATACTAGAAATAACTATCGCCACGTAACTCTCTTTATACTAGAAATAACTATGCTAATAGTAGACGTTGTTAATGTAAATATATGTATACCAGACACGTACACACGTTTATGCTGAACTTATAACGCAAACGTATTTAAAAAAGATATATTCTCCTCATTTATTTCTACCTCAAAACCGCGTAGCGCGACTGAGGAATGCATTTTCGCACCCGAGCGATAACAAAGGCGAGATCGAGTGATGTGTCTCGGACCAGGGTCACTGTATCGTCCGCTTGAGGTCTTTTGAAGAGAGGGGAAAAAATAATGCTTGACCTTGGGAAGCTGCGGTCAACGATTCTGCCCCGCCAGTGAAGACATATGTCTTTTTGCACTACGTCACCAGGTGCGCGCGCCGTACCTCTGCAAATTGGCGATTGCAGAGGAATACGCTCGACGACGAGCCTGTTCAAGGCAGGCCGGTCGCCCGTCCTCAAAAATTCGGTTTTACAACCAGTCAGCGGGTACCCGTTCGATGCACTCGCGGGAATACCCCCGTTAGCACGGGGATAATTCTCGAAGGAAGGTAGAATGCGGGTAGCGAAAACCTGTACTTAGTTTGTAATCGTAGGGATAATCGTGGGAAAACAAAAGATGAATTAAGAACAGAAAATCAGTTCTACGAAATAAATTTTGTCAATTATTCTTATACAGAACAGAAATTATTATTCTGGGAAATATTATTATCATCAATTTAAGACTATAACTTATATTTTCCCATTTCTGTAAGAGAACTAGTCATACGTAAACGTATGCACGCATCTATAGTTATATATTTCTCTTTAAAAGCTTAGAAATACGTGTCTATCATAAAGCTAGAATTTTTATACTTGATTATTAAAATTTTAACTTGTAAAATTAAATTTTCCAATTTTTTTTACATAATCTTTGAGCTCTCTTTTTTAAGAAGTGAAAAACTATCATATAATTTCTCCAATTACTATCCAATTACTATCTAACAAAAGAATTAAAAATAAATTCTTCGCAAAAGAGAATAAAGAATTAAATTCAAAATGTTTTACTTAATGTTTTCTATTCCAAAATTTTGACAATTTACTTTTACGCAAATTTTCGTTAGCTCATATTGTGACATTTGAGAAAGATTTTTGCACGATAGAAAAAAATATGGTCTTAAATCAGATGCTAATTAATACCCGGTCCGGGGAATCACCACGACTTAATGGACTGATGGTCTAATGGATAGATCGTCACGAGTGCACTCATGTTTCATTCATGATATCTTTTGATTTACATTTCCTTAGTGATGGAAAGGTGCAGTATGCGTTCGTTAATTAACGTGACGAGCGTGACGAGCGACAGGCAAGGGCAGCATTTAATGGTGCAATTTTAAAGAGATCGATAAAACCAAAAAACTGTAAGATACGCGCAAGACTTTTTCCTTATAAGACCGGTTGATCAGGATATACTTTAAAAACATAAAACTTGTCTTCGTATAAGTTTGCTTATAGAAAAATAGAATAAAAGATAATAAGATTTTTTTTATAAATATAGGATTTCCCTCACTTTAAACTTTAGAATCAAGAGCAAAGTAAAGGTTTCGTGTCTCATTATATAGCATTTTATATTACAGAAAATTTGTTTCATATATAATTTTGCTTTTGAGAGATAAACGAAAATTTGAAGAATCTGATTTTTAATAAAATTATTATTTATTAAAATAAATTCTATTCTGTGCTCTGTTGATAGAAGAACTATGAAGAATATGTTTGATAGTAAATTTCTTATTAATATGAATTTACTACATATTTATGTTGGAATGTTTAAATATTTAATATGCGAATAGTTTATTTCATCTACTATACGAAATAAATTTTTAATCATTTTCAAGTGCAAAACACATTTTGAGACCATTTGAAAAACTTAATGTAATAAGTATCAAATCAAGGTATTCCCGAAATGTTTGCCATGCACATTATGTACAATTCTCATTGTATAATATATGCCAAAGTCAATTTCCTTATGTAATCCTGACAGTTTCACATATTGACTCTATCTGTTACAAAATCTATGTGATTCACCCTATACGGGCTCTACCTCGACCGAAATTTCAATTTAAATAAAAACGTCTTACTCGGACACGTCATCGCTTATAATAAGCATGTAAATATAACGAGAATATTACAACTTCATAAAAATTGCATAATATTAACTTCGCCGCAATGTGGTTCTTAGATTTATCGACTAGCTTCTTGTTTATCCTGCTTATAATATGTATTTCACAAGAATAAAATGACAATGGTGGACAAAAATCAACTTTCACTTAAATAAAGCATAAAAGTATCGCGCAAGTTTCTTATAGGTCAAGGACATTATCAAATTAATATCATTAAATGTCTCAAGAAAATGGCCCGACTCTATAAAACTTACGTTATTACGCTGTATTTATTTTATACCTTATTAATTAAGATATTATCTTTCCTCTTATGTCAACTTTTATCAAATAATCGTAATTTTTAATATTAAAATACAATTGTCCATAAAAACCAATATAATTTTTTGCAAATAGAGCCACAATCCCCCAACATTATTATAGCGCATTCAAAATAATTCTTATAAATATTTAACTGGTAAAAGCGACAAAATTTGCATAAGTACCAAAAGTAGCTAACCAAGTTAAAAACTATAAAAAAATGTGGTCAAATATAATAGATTGCACACAGTGGATGATAATAACGATGATGAATCGCGCATGAACAATTCAGCGTTTCTAATTCGCTCGACAATCATAAGAAGTTGGCGAGTTTTTCTACCACAAAAATTTTTTTGCTCAAAAATGGTGCATAGAGTTCCGAGAATTATACTCTTCATTCCACCGGTCATTATCATCCCCCTAAAAGGCCCTTCGAAGAGGCAACCTACGAAAAAAAGCAAAATGCAGACCTACTCCGACAACAAAAGCGCGCTTTCTCAGAAACCCTTTCGCCAACGAAACAATACTAAGAAGCATCATTAGACATGGTTATCATTATGTGGAACTGTCATTAGATGGATGCTAAATGCATGGATGTAAATTACTCATTTTTTCCATGCAAATCAACACATAGTACGAATTATTAATTATTTGCAATTTAAAATTGTGTGATGACTACATCTGCATATTTCTGCTCGCTAAGTCTGATAAATATTTTCATCAGATCGATACTTATAAGCGATAAAAAAATGGAATTTTTTAAATAATTAATTTTTAATAGTATATACATTTATATACCAAAGACATTTTTAATTTTTAAACTGATTTCTTCTTATTTTCTGTTAAGAAAGTAAGGATTCTATTTAAGTATATATTTATCCTAGCTTTAATTATAATTAAATAAAAATAGATTACTCTCTTTTTTTTTACCTCTTTCTAAATAAAAAAATATTTTTCTATAATGATATTTTTTGTAGTTCCAATAAAATAACTTTCTCTTCGCAATTGAAGAGTAAAATCAAGTATCGTCAAAGCAATGGATTTTCCTGACTGATTCAATGAAGACGATTATGCTCGCCCTCGAATTTTATGAGGATTGCGTCCTCGACGTCGCGACGACAGCGTCGTGGAATCCCAGGATTCAAAACACGAGATCGGCATTCCTATTTGCGGTTCTTTGTGCATAACGTACTTGTGTGTGTGTTTGTACGCTCCGTTCGTATTGCGCCTTTTTTTACTCGATCCTATGCGCGCGCGTGTGCGAAACTACAGGTAGTCGACGAGGCACATGTGCGGTTGCATTCGTGCCGGCGTCTCGAAAAACACTGGAGCGGTCGCGTATATAAGGCCCGCTCCACTCGAAATGGAATCAGTCCTCGATATGTTGCGTCCATTACATTTCGTAAGTGATTTGCACGACTCTCATCTCCGGCATCTATAACGCGAGATTACCTTCTCATTTCGTGACTTTTCCTATTTTTTGTCTTTTTTAATATCATCACTATGTCGCGTGTGTACGCGCTTTTCTGATGGCACGAAACGTCAGTCGCGAGATACGTCCGATGAATTTGTCCAATTAGCGTAATTCGCGTCGCGTGAATCGCGTAATCACTATCATTCGAAGTAAATTATCCTCTTGATAATGAATAGTTAAATTACAAATAACAATTATTATTTGTAATTATTATTTGTAATGCATATAATGATTCATAATCGAGTATAGATTGAATAGTAAATTTACAGCGTAATATGGAATATTCGTATTAGTCAATTAATATTAAAAAATTAATGTTAAATAACCGGTGATTAACATTAAAATGTTTGGAAATATATTATATTATTTTTATAATATCAAAGATTTATAAACAAAAATTATACGTATGTAATGGCTACTTATACACTACATGCATCGCGATCAAAGCTTTTTCAACTGCCAAAAGAATTGCAATATTACGCACATAAAACATTCCAATTGTTTCTTTTTTTTTATTTTATTTCGACTTTTTCACAAGTTAAATTCAATAAAAATCTAAAAAATATTTTCAATTTATCATCCGAATTATAGATAAAGACTAAAGAATTGCACTGAACTGATTTTAGGTATTTCTTTTTGTGGCGTTCGCTTTTCTCGCGCTTTCCGCTGCGGTGGAAATTGAGGGAAGTCCGCAGACTGTCCAGAATGAAGCTGAACCACCACAGCAGTATGGAAAAACAAATGATTTAGAAACAGATGCCACGTTCTGGGGCGGGTGAGTACGCTTATAAATCATTAACATTCAATCGTTAATTTTGTTCTATTTTTGCACAAAGATTTCTTCCAAAATGCTTATATCAAACCTCCTTACATCATAACGCAAACCGGAAAAGCTAAATGAGTTCTCGTCCTAATATACACTGTCATTCATAACGTGTTCATAGTAATTAATATACTCATTCATTTATCGTAATTACGACAAAATGATACATGTATCATAATCCTCGCAGAGTTGATAATTTTAGATCTGCGTTATTAATAGCTTAGTCGCGCTAGTGATTAATTCACCAACGTTGTCAAACAAAACTCAATTGTCGCTAAATGAAAATAATCTCATTTTACGGAAAATGTACAAGTATTTTTCAGGGGAATAATTTTGCGCGATAATTCTCGATAATGGAAACTTATCAATTTGCATGCTTTATAACTGCATAATTTAGAATTAATGTGCGTATCCCGGAAACTATAGTCACTGCAAATATTAAATAATAATCACGTATTCTATCGCAATCGAAGCTTACTCAACCACGATTCAACTTGGTATGCAAAGTTTGTTTACACCGTGTGATTTGTTTCTGAAGATAACAGTCACGTAAAGAAGAGACATGTAAAAAATATTATATTTTTATAGCATCTTCATTCACATTCATGACCATCTTCTCGTTCCTCGTAATTTCGTCAACATGCATATACTAACTAGTCGCATGCATGAATGACGCATTCTGATGTGCAAATAGCGCTAAAGCGAGAGTTGCAACGATCAATTTGCAATGATTTAACAAGCTGTAAGCATCTCATACATTTTTGCAAGGAATGCTTCGAATAAATCAAAATTTATTATAGTCGAAAATTATAAAAGATAATAAATCTAAAATGAGATTACATGGCAGGATAATATCAAAATAGAAGCTAAAAATTATTAAGTTGATAAAAATTTAATTATAGTATTTTAAAAGTTATTACTTGTGTTATTGAAAAATACCGTAATTAATGTTTGAGTAGAAATTTTTAATTTTAAATGTTTTAATACATTTGTTAATTTTGCATTTTAGATTTTACTTAAATCATTACAATATAATACTTGCGTTCTTAAATTTTGAATTAAAAATTTTAATTTAACAACGAAGCAGAAAAAATAGAATGTAGCAATGCAAAATACTTGCTGCTGTTTTTTAAAGATTTCAATCATAATTATGATTATAGTCCTACTAACGCACAGTATAAGTGATATTTTCAATATTTTTAATCTTTCACACACAAAGGATGCTTTGTCAAATAAAAGATGACCTAACATTGAAAGAAACACAAATTGTTTCTCTTTAACAACTAACAATCTTATCTTTTCAGCCTCGATTTCTAATCTTCCTATAACATTTTTTTTAATCTTTCATAAAAATTAATTCTCAAATTTGTAAAATTATTTATCATTGAAGATCAAGGCAGCACACACAATTTGATGATACTACATATAATACTTCATAAAATCAGTGATAATCGCAATTTGAATTACTTAAAATTCTTGCATTAAATACATAAAATAATCCCCAAATGATCAAGCTAATCGTCTTAATTAAATAATTTATAAACAATTTCAGATATGGCCGAGGATATGGTGGCTGGGGAGGATATGGCAGAGGATATGGAGGATATGGAGGATATGGAGGTTGGGGAGGAGGCTGGGGTGGCAGAGGATACTATGGCGGCTGGGGTGGTCGAGGATACTATGGCGGTTGGGGTGGAAGAGGCTACGGTGGTTGGGGAGGATACTGGGGTTGATATGACTCTCCCTCTTCCCCCGATGTTACTCCATTATATCTTATCTCCTCTTTTGGCGATATTAATATTCGATTTGTTTAAAATAAATGAAGCTTTCTGCAAGCTTCATTAGTTTTATAATCTCATTGAAATCTCCATTGAAGTGTAAGAAATGAAATAAAAGAAAATATAAAAAATGTTTTATCTTGTATAATGATGTTCCCACAAAACTTCCACTCTATTCTAAGCATTTGATGGATATTATTGTCTACAAATATTCTGTTAAAACTATCTCTCACAATTATCACAAAGCATCTTGATTCTTATTCTATTTTAATTTTCTGATTTTTTAATTGTATTATCAAAATATATTAATAGAAACTGATATATACATTTATACATCTTGCCTCTCTCTTTTCATATAATGCATTCATTTAATTTATCGATATTGTCAGATTTGTGTGTGATCTTTTTTTTCGATAACAAAAACAAAAATGCTCTATAGATCTAGGCACACTCAGAAAATTCTCACAAAGTGTGACATATTTACAAGGTCTTCGCAGTAGTTATAACTTTTTCGTCACACCAAATCGTCACACCAAAATTATCGTCTTTTAAAAAAATGCAAATTGCAAGCGAGGATATAATAATCAAAGCAATCCTTAATAATCATACAGTGAATATGATCAAAAACGACAGATGATATCAATATTTTGGAGATAATTACCCAATTATAATTAATTTACTCACCGGTCGTTGTACCCTAGCAAAGTACGCTCTCTTAGCTATACCTAGAGAAATTAATACAAATTATAGTTATTATAAATTATCATATATTTATATATGAATTATTATGTATTATATTTAATCATTTCTATTGTGAGTCGAACATAACTATATGCAACAAATTGCATGATTAATTATACAAAAATTTTTAGTAAATATTTAATAAACTTTTTTAAATTGTAATTATACATCTTTCTGTTATCATAATTTTTTAAGTAATAAACAAATAATCTTACCAGCTAGGGTATTGAAGTTTGCTCCTGACGCAGATTTTCGCCTCAGACTGTTCCATATGCATCAGCTCCGTTGAAAAAATTAATGCTCCATTGAAGAAATATTAGTTCCATTAAAGAATCGATGAATACAGGAAAACACTTATCATTAATTATTGCGCACTACTGAACAAAAGTCAAGTTAAATATCTCATTTTCGAAAATCGGATTTACGCACAGATTTATGTCGCAAATTTGCCACACCATGATGTATAAAACACACTTTGTGCTGCAATGCTAATTATTATCACCTTACGTACGTTGGGCGATTCTCACGGCGATCACAGGCAATCAGAAATGTTTTCTCATATAAGTTTGTATCAATTTTAAGTAATTGTAAGTGTTTAAGATCAATATAAATGCAAGATCTTCGTAAATAAATGCAAATAGTTTAAATGAAGAAAACCGCTACGACATAAAGCTCCGCTACACAAGCTAAGCGATCACTCGAAATTCGGCGTCTCAACAACCGCCGCAAACTCTAATGCGCAAGTCGCGACGCCGAATTTCGTCGCTCGATGAGATCGATCGCCGTCGATCGCGAGAGATCGTTTTGAAAGCTTCACTTGTTCTTAAACAGTCGAAACGTTCAGATTATTAATTCCTTCTAAACGCATCTGAAAATCTTGAGACTAAATTGTCGAACCGCTCTCCGCGATTTCACGAATCCGAGTGCGAATTAACGTCAATTACTTTCGTTGGAATTTGTTCATTTAATTGTTAAAATTTGTGTTAATTAAATGTTATTGCCTGGTTTACTAAAAAATAGACAGTTGCTTTATTTCTCCGTAAGTTCGAACACCAGACATTTTACCTTCAACTCGCTCGTGTTTATAAGCTTTGTTTTTCGACTGTGCTTTGATCGGCTGAATAATATTTTCTGGCCTTGCTGCTACGTATGAGAAACGGTCGCACGAGTTGAACGATTTGTCGAGATAATAATTCGCATAAAGACTTTCAGCTTCAATTCAAAAAGGGATTCCACCCGCGACTCCGTTGCTGCGCGTTTTCGTGAAAACGGTTCCGGTAATCTGTGTCTGCATCGCCGCTAGCATACGTGCGAATTCGACACGAACATTTTGGTCCTTCGAGCCGGATCGTAGCGACGGATCGCGAATTGGAAAATTCAAAAGTAGCACCCTTTCTGGTGCAGTTTCATCTTGATAAATTCTCGTGCAGCGTGGCCGAAATCTTAACAAAACAGAGGCAGGTGTTACGCTCGCTTGATCGCTCATTAGACAATTTTAAAAAAATCGGCAAAGGCAATCTAAGTGCAGCGCGAGTACGGAATCGAATAAGCGCGTTGAAAGACTGTTGGGCCGAAATTCAAGCCGGTCATCTCGAGCTAGTGACTCGGCTTACGAAGCAGGAGCAAGCCGCTTGCAGTTACTTCTCGGAGAATCTATACGACCACGCTGAGGACACATATCACGCAACCTCCGACTTTATGGCCGAATGTCTGGAAGAATTGGAACCTCCGGTGAGCCCGAACCAATCTATTATAAATAGTAGTGTGCACCATGGCTACACGTCGTCGGTTGCTCTTCAACATTTGCCTCCCATCAAATTGCCGCCCTTTGACGGAAAATTCGAGGAGTGGGAGAGCTTTCGCGATCGTTTCACCGCGTTAATCATTGACAATCACGATCTCACGAATTTTACGCGGATGCATTATTTAACATCAAGTCTCAGAGGCCACGCCCTCGATTGCGTGAAGTGTTTAGCTGTGACCGAAAACAATTTCACAGTAGCGTGGAATTTGCTAAAATCACGTTACGAGAGCGCGCGCCGTTTATTGAATGTGCATCTGAGCACGCTGTTGAATTTGAGCAGCGTAACTCGCGAGTCCGTGTCGGATCTCCAGTCCCTACGCGACAGGGTCGGGGTCGCTGTAGCAGCATTGAAAAATTTAAAACGGTCTCCGGAACAATTGTGGAACGACATGCTTGTGTGTATCGTTTCGCAAAGGCTCGATCCTGTTACACGAAAGGCGTGGAATCTAAAGTTCTGTACTGAAGACCTTCCGTCCTTCGAAGATCTTAAAACGTTCCTTGACACACGCATCCGCGCGTTAGAAGATCTCAAGCTTCCAGCCGTCAACGCGGATAAGGCAACCAAAGCATCATCTGCAAAAATTAATAGCGCCAACGCAACTACAGCTCTGCATGCTCCATGTTCCTTGTGTAACGCGAATCACAATTTACAATCCTGTTCAACATTTATAAATAAGAATCCGAGCGAACGTCGCGAAATAGTCAAAGCCGAAAATCGTTGCACGAACTGCTTAAGCAAGCGACATAATTACTACGCATGTACAAGTAAATTCACGTGCCGACATTGCAAACGTAAGCATCATTCCATGCTGCACGAAAGCTCGGATTCTTCATCAAAAAGTGCTGAAAGCGCGGCGCAGCAACAGCCAGCAAGCTCTGCCGAGACAGCTGTCTCAGAAGTAAAATCTTTGTTTGTTTCCACTAAAAAACAGACCCGATCAACGATCTTGTTGGCAACTGCTTGGCTGAACGTTGCCGCGCCGTCCGGTCGCACGATTTGCGTTCGAGCATTGCTCGATCAAGGGTCCGAAATGACCTTCATACTGAGCGTCTCGCTCAGCAATTAAAGTTGAAGCGAATTCGTATGCCGATTTCAATATCCGCGATCGGAGGTGTAAGTGCCGGAACGCATCGCCACACCGCACAAATACTTATTTCGCCGCGAAATGCATTGACTCCGGTTTTCTCCACGACCGCACTCATTCTAAAAACATTAACGGCATACTCGCCACCTCGCGCAGCACAAGATTCAGTCTCAATTCCTTTCAAAAATCTTACGTTGGCGGATGACAATCCTTTCAGCTCTCATCCCATCGACATCCTCATCGGTGCAGATCTCTATGGGGAAACTCTGCTCGATGGAATCCAAAAATCCACGTCCGGAGAGCCGGTCGCTCAAAATACCGCGTTCGGTTGGATTATCTCCGGGCCGATCGTTCTTTCGAACTCTCCCATGAACACGTCCTCAGTTAACACGACATGTCAGAAAGCACTAAAGGTTAACGCAAATCATTGCTGCAATTCCGACTCTCTCGAGTACGAATTGCGCAAATTCTGGGAGATCGAAGAGATGCCTCACAAAAAAATATTAAGTCCCGAAGACGAACGTTGCGAGACTCATTTCCGGAATACGCACTCGCGAGATTCCACCGGAAGATACGTAGTGCGTCTTCCATTCAAACACGGTCCTCCAATTGACATTGGAGACTCTCGCGCTATAGCTGAGAAATCACTGCGCAATTTAATTCGAAGACTCGACGCTCATCCCGCGCAGGCACGCGAATATTCAGATTTTCTCTCAGAGTACGAACTCCTCGGGCACATGCAGGTCGCTCCGAAATCGTTCTCGCACAAAGGGCAATGCATTTATATTCCACACCATTCCGTCATCCGGGATAGTAGCACAACGACACGCTTACGCGTTGTCTTCGACGCTTCGAGAGCAACTTCAAACGGATCGTCTCTAAACGATCATCTCTTAGCAGGCCCGAAGCTCCAATCAGAACTTCCGGCCGTTATAATGCAATGGCGACAGTTCAAATACGTCTTCACTGCCGATATCACAAAAATGTATCGGCAAATCCGCGTTGATCCTCGCGACATGGACTATCAGAGAATTCTATGGCAGTCCGCCTCAGCACACGTCACAGAATTTCAATTACTCACGGTCACATACGGAACAGCCTGTGCACCATTCTTAGCTCTTCGTGTTCTCAAACAACTGGTGCAGGACGAAGGTCAGAAGTTTCCTCTCGCAGTTCCCGTGTTGACGAATCAGACTTATGTCGACGACGTACTCTTCGGCGAACACGACGTAACACGCATTCGTCAAGTACGCGAACAGTTGATTCGACTCTTGCGATGCGGCGGTTTCGAATTACGAAAATGGGCAAGCAACTCGCAGGATCTTCTAGCCGAGATCAACCCGGAGGATCACGGTCTCGCTTGCACAAAACCTCTCGACGAGAGCGAAACGCTCAAAGTGCTCGGCGTCGGTTGGAATCCCGTGCTCGACGTGTTCCAATTCCAATCGACATTAAAAGACCATCCGCCAGATACCAAACGCTCGATACTTGCGATCATTGCAAAAATTTTCGATCCCCTTGGTTGGGTGACACCTGCAACTATCATCGCAAAGGTTTTCATGCAAACTCTATGGCGCCTTAAATTGGAGTGGGACCAAAAGATTCCACCATCACAATTAACTACATGGCACCAAATTCATTCAAATCTTAGGTTGCTCAACGAATTCCGAGTGCCCCGTTGGACAGGGTGCGGTCCACACGTCGTCAAGCAAGAATTGCACGGCTTTGCCGATGCTTCGCTCGTTGCATACGCCGCAGTTGTTTACCTCAAGGTCACTTCATCTGACGGAAACTCAACAATATCGCTCATAGCCGGAAAATCTAGAGTAGCTCCATTAAAGCCCTTAAGCATTCCGCGTTTAGAACTGTCTGCCGCCGTTCTTCTATCACGGCTAATGAAATTCGTACAAGAATCAATCTCAGCAAATACTACTCAATGCTACTGTTGGACGGACTCCACAATCGTATTAGCGTGGATTCGTCAACATCCATCTCGGTGGAAAACATTTGTTGCAAACCGCGTCACCGAAATTCTTGCAAATCTCCCTCATCTCACTTGGCGTCATGTATCAACCGACGATAATCCAGCTGATTGCGCGTCTCGCGGATTGCTCGCACAAGATTTAATCAATCATCACTTATGGTGGTCAGGCCCACCATGGCTAAAACGCTCTTCCGAATTTTGGCCGATTGGAGAATAGCACAGTGTCTCACGAAACGGAGCTCGAAGTGCGAACTACATGCGCAACGGTCGCAATGAACGATCGCGAATGGGATCTAGCGAAAAATATTCATCCTGGCCTAAATTGATCCGCGTTACAGCTTATATATATAAATTTTTAAATAAATGTAAACGCAGGAAGCACGATCAACCGCAAGGGTCTGAAGTTCCTGCCGCAGTATCCGCTGACGAATATCGCAGCGCTAAACTTTATTGGATCCGCTATATCCAACAAGCCTTATTTTCCACGGAAATCCAAGCGCTCACTCATAAAAGATCGCTCAACCATAAAAGTCCAATCCTTTCCTTTAATCCATTCATTGATCAGGACAATGTGTTACGAGTGGGAGGCCGATTGCAAAATTCGCCTCTCCCATTCAACAGGAAGCATCCGATTCTACTCGCGTCACATCCGCTTGTCCATCTCATTATTAAAAATGCGCACGTGCGATCCTTGCATGCTGGATTACAACTAACCTTAAATGTATTAAGACAGGAATTTTGGATCCTACGCAGTCGAAGTATGACCAAAGCCATCATTCATCGATGCGTTCCGTGCGCTCGCGAAAAGGCAGCTGTTCCGTCACAGTTAATGGGAAATCTTCCCGCGATCCGAGTCACAAAACCAGAGCGCAGCTTCCTGCATTGTGGCGTTGATTATGCCGGTCCGATCCAAATTCGCACAAGTAGCGGTCGCGGAATCAAGACTCAAAAGGCATATATCGCCTTATTCATTTGCCTTAATTCACGAGCGATTCATCTTGAGCTCGTTAGTAATTACTCGACCGACGCATTTCTCGATGCGTATTTACGATTCTGCTCTCGTAGAGGATTACCGGAGTCAATGTATTCCGATAACGGAACTACATTCTTAGGCGCTGACAGAGAGCTCGCGTCCGCATATCGGGCCGCTCTCACCGAGAGCAATTTTCAAAATAAAATCGCGACTGACAGTGTAAGCTGGAATTTTATTCCCCCATCTGCGCCGCATTTCGGCGGACTGTGGGAGGCTGGTGTAAAAAGTGTGAAACATCATCTCCGCCGCCTAGTCAAAAACGAGACGCTCACATTCGAGGAATTCACGACGCTTCTTTGTCGAATAGAGGCGTGCTTGAATTCGCGACCTATTGCGCCGCTAAGCGACCATCTCGACGATTACGAACCCTTGACTCCGGGCCATTTCCTAATCGGTTCTGCTATCACAACGACTCCTGAACCATCGTTGCTCAATCTGAAGGAAAGTCGGTTGTCACGATGGCAACGCGTGCGATTAATGACCGAAAAATTCTGGAAACTCTGGCAAAACGAATATGTCAACACACTCCAGCAACGAGTCAAATGGAAGCGCAAACAAGAAATAATAAAGGTCGGTCAGATGGTTCTCTTGCGCAAGCCAGATTTGCCTCCCTGCAAATGGGAGCTCGGGCGCATTACGCAATTACACTCTGGTTCAGATGCATTACCTCGCGTCGTGTCAATAAAAACAGCGTCGTCCGAATTCAAGCGCCCAATCACAAAATTATGTTTATTACCTCTCGATAGCGAGCCAACGAACACTCCATCGGTGTAAAAAAAAAAAAAACCCCCACGCCAAGAAACTCACAAGAATTTATCATCGAATTTGATTCTGTGTTTACTCGAATTTCACCAGTCATCAATTTCGCATTCGCGACGGTATTACGGCTGGAGCTTCGTTGTCGAGCGTTTTCACTAGTTCGAGAGTTCGATCATATTTCGGAATTGCCATTCCAAGGCGGGCGGTATGTTTAAGATCAATATAAATGCAAGATCTTCGTAAATAAACGCAAATAGTTTAAATGAAGAAAACCGCTACGACATAAAGCTCCGCTACACAAGCTAAGCGATCACTCGAAATTCGGCGTCTCGACAACCGCCGCAAACTCTAATGCGCAAGTCGCGACGCCGAATTTCGTCGCTCGATGAGATCGATCGCCGTCGATCGCGAGAGATCGTTTTGAAAGCTTCACTTGTTCTTAAACAGTCGAAACGTTCAGATTATTAATTCCTTCTAAAACGCATCTGAAAATCTTGAGACTAAATTGTCGAACCGCTCTCCGCGATTTCACGAATCCGAGTGCGAATTAACGTCAATTACTTTCGTTGGAATTTGTTCATTTAATTGTTAAAATTTGTGTTAATTAAATGTTATTGCCTGGTTTACTAAAAATAGACAGTTGCTTTATTTCTCCGTAAGTTCGAACACCAGACATTTTATCTTCAACTCGCTCGTGTTTATAAGCTTTGTTTTTCGACTGTGCTTTGATCGGCTGAATAATATTTTCTGGCCTTGCTGCTACGTATGAGAAACG